AAGATGATTGGTCTGTAATTCCCCGAGTTGTCCTTATTTCCCCTTTTGTAGATGGGCGCTGTATTTGCCCTTTTCCAGTCTTCCAGAATCTCTCCCATCTTCCATGACTGTTCAAAGATACTTACTGAAGACTCAGATATTTCCTCATTTTGCTCCTTGAGTATTCTAGGCTGCATCCCATCTTGGAATACATAGGATACTGTGTTTTCCCATTGCAAAGCTACAATTATTGCAATGCAGACCAATGTGCTACTATCTTTTAAATCCAACCCTGCAGAAAGCACTCTTTAGCCAAACAGAAGAAGTAGTATCAAGTAAAAACTCATCCTCTCTCCACCTAAAGCCCCTAAACAAAGTGTGAATTTCAAACCCTAATTGGTACCATTTCCTTCAGAACACTGCTAATTCCAGGCATGTCTTCAATTTTAAAAAAAGCAAAGACATTTGCAATAATCACTCTTTTGGTTGTACATACACACATACATCTGTAAGTGTATATAACTCATTGCTGCTGGAACAGTATTACTTTTGCATTTCTTGAATTGTGCACATTTTTTACAATATGAAGACATAAAAGTTGCTTTCACATATTTTTAGCCTTTAATATAATTTTCTATTTTAATTTAATTTATTTAAATCTACTACTGTACTTAATATTAAATGTCAGAGACATTAGTTAACAGCCTAGGAAGTTCTCAGCACCAGTTATTTTCAGTGAGTTCAATTAAAAACTATTGCTATTAAAAAAAGGTGTTGTAAAAACCAGAGCAATTTACACAAATCCAGAATCTGGATCTACAACTAACAGATTAAAAAAGAAACTGACTGGGAATGAGAATATGACAAGTGAGCTTGGTGATGCTGAGATAACTGAACTGAATGTGGAAGGAATGGGTGCAAAGAAGGTAGTAGAAGAGATCAAATTCAGAAGAGATTCAGTTGCAAGATAAAATGTGGAGGAAATAAATCAATCTGGTGTACACAGTAAACGTGGAAGAAAGCTAGAGAATCCTTGACTGCTGTTTTGTCACAATAAATAGTAGTTACAATGAACAAAATGCAAGCAACAGGAAGCAGCTGATGTGACTGCACAAGGGTGGGCTCAAAGATTTGAGGGTGAAGTGCCAAGAAAGAAATAATGACCACACACAGAAGTTTGGGTACAAGTCTATAGTGTCCTTGAGCAGAACAGAAAAGCAATTTGGGGCTGTAGTGACAGAAGGCACTCGCCACTAAGCAAGGACATAAGAGTCCTTTTCCATAAGGTCCTTTAAGGAGTCTATACCTTAATATTGTGTGTAGCCCAGGGTAACTTAGTACCAGAAAAATGGATTGGATGGAGTTCAGAGAACAACAGAAAAAAGGCTAGGGTGTTAGAGACTGATGGGCAAAGACTGATAGAAGTAAACATGTAGAATGTGATAACACTGTGTATTCATTTAAAAGCTGTAAAAAGCAAAGATGGAGAAGAGGGATATGAAGGGATGTTGCTAATTGTGATGGGATGAAAATTAGACCTAAGTGATGGGAAGAAAAAGAGAGGAATTTTGGAAGCAGCATTTTCGATATCCTTGGAGATGTGGTTAGTATTAAAAAAGCCCAAAAGGAAGTAACAGCTACAGCTGAGGCTAGAGATACAGGCAAGGACAACCAACTTGACAGAAAGAAAGGGGCAGATTTTTGAACCATATTGGATGTTTGTTGTTTGTCTGTTTTTTTAGCTGTGTTTAGACAGAGGAATACTCTCCTGAGGGAAATGGTGCAAGCCAATAGACTAGGATGTTTAAAACTAGACTGGACAATTTCTGTCAGTACAACTTCTGCAAGTATTTTGGCTGGGTTGGGCATGACTGCATGATCCCCACACAGTCAAAAGCATAAATAATCCTGGGGCGGGGGCGGGAGGGGGGGAGGGAGGATTGGCAGTGAGGGGAAAATGTAGAGGCTGACTTAAAACACACAGACTCTGCCCACTGAGCAATATCAGTGATAGACTATTCATCAGCATCCAAAAATACATTCACCTATGCAAATAGGCACTTGTGGATTAATAGTCTTTGGTTGCAATTCGGGCTGCAAGGCTTGGACATGTTGAGTCTGCAACTCACCACAGCAGTGTTTCCCAATTTTATTTGGCCATGGAATCCTTTTAAACTCGAAAAAAATTGTGCAGAATCCTTAATAACAATCTTATATATGGAGCTGAAAAAAGTAGACGACAAATAAGTAATGATAATAATAAACAAATGCTAAACAGGGTCATGAGATCAACACTTAGTTCAATTGCACATATTTAAAAACAAAAATCACATTTAATGTGTACAAAAAAATTTAAATAATAAAATGTTATTGTAATGGAATTTTCTCGTGGAACCCTTATTTTCACTTTGCGGAGCCCCAGGGTTCCACGGAACACCATTTGGGAAACACTGCTTTGCAGAAAAGATCCTAGATAACATTGTATGAACTCATTCATCACTTTAGACTCATAGTTTAAGCAAAAGGACAATTACTAATAATCAGAAAGAAATGCTCATTCCTGGCACTATACTGTTCTGTGACTAAAAACCTAGAGATAACAGTTTTTTCTGTACAACCAAATATGGCCAACAAAGCTGATAAAGCATAAGCACTTACAGCTCTGCAAATATATTTTAGCTTTCTTAGTGTGTTTAAACTAAATTAAAAATGTAGCTATCAGGAGCTCTGCACTGTTTTAAAGTCAAGGCCATGGTCTTGCCAGCACATAAGAATTACTCTGGAAAATCATCTGCTTTAGTTACAGAATGGTAGAAAGAGTACGAGAGAACACGGATCCAATTTTGAATCTCTACATATCATGTATTATGGTACATTCCAATAAAGAATCCATTTCCTTTCTTCTGGGCTGTGTGAAATCTCACAACTTGATTCAACGTTGTCAGCCAAGATGAAGAAACCTTGGGTTTGTTGCCCAGATAGTACACATAGTCTGATTTTCAGAAATGCAAGTGTTAACAAAAAGGCCTGGCTTAATAAGAGATTTATCCCATAAAAGTGAAGACCTTCAAGAATTAAATCAGGAAGAGATGAGACACATGAGAAAAAACCACAACCCTACAGCACAATAATGGAAGGAGCAAGCACATCTCATTAACTAGTTTCTATTAAAGTGACAAGAATGTCCTGGGAAAATGAAGCGAACAGACAGTTTATAGTGCATCATTAATATTCTACGGGTTTTATTTTTAAAAGCCATCCAGAGCAACATTCTCAGTTGCTGTAAATCTGTGTTGCTCTATTGAAGTCAAAGCCTCACTGACCTATACCATAGAAGGTCTGGCCCATAATTTTACCATTTCTGAGCCATAGCATAAAACTGTTCCAGTGAGTAATTCTCCTCACTTTCCTGGGCTGTGATATTGGGGGTCAATAACACCCTTTTCTCACACCAGTATTGAGGTACATGGTCATAGACTCAAGATGCCACACTTGGAGGAAGTAAGCGTCCAAAGAGAGGGTTTGAGTATGACTTCACTGTGTGATCATCACTTCCCCCCAGCTCCTAATATGACCACGGTGTGTTTCACCTTCTGCAAATGATTATTATTTTTATTTATGAACCACATCTCCCCCCACTCCCATTGAGTCTAACTGGGTGCTGCTTAACAAACACAAATTCTAATGCAATAAAGCCCTCCACACTGACATTCAAGCAAATAAAGCCAATTGAGGGGCTGCAACCTGAAATAAGGAATGAGGAGGAGATATGGAATCAAATCTAAAACATCTGCACATACGTCTTAATGTGTTTTGTTTAACAAGGGGCAAGGAAGAAGCAAGGGGGTTGCAAAGTGCAATATGTTCCACACAAAAAGGCCCTCCTTCCAACAAAGTCTCAACCTTTGACAGTCTAAATGCAGGTGCTACCTGAACACAGATATTTGTCAAGCCAAGGCTTAAAGAGGAGGTTTTGAGAATGGCCAAGGCTTAGGGTTTGTCTGTGGTAGATGGTGGATTGACACTGCAGTGATTGATCCACTGGTGATTGATTTATCATGTCTGCTTAGATTTATCATGTCTCCACCAGCACGAGAAGAGTAGGCAGAGTTGACGGGAGAGCAGCCCCTGCTGACCTTATCACATGGAAGACAGTTCTGCTATTTGTGTAGCTGAAGTTGCATAGGTTAAATCAATGGGGGAGGGGATGTCGTGTAGAGTAGGCCTTAGAACAATTGATGCTTTAAAAACATCAGTGTTAAGTCACTCTCTACTCTCTAGTCAGGTCTTTGTTTAAACTTCTATTCAAGGTGTCAAACAAAGGGGGTGCTGTAAGCATCATGAACAGAACAGATCATGAAAAGGAGACTTCCAGACAACTCACCAACACCAGATTCTATTTGATACCTTGACCTGGATGAGCCTCTACAGTACACATACTAATGACATAAAAAGCCAAGCACCAGGTACTTAGGATACTTAAAGTCCACTCTATTAGCATCATTTAGCATGGACACTCTAATTGACAATGTTTTTTATCCATTTTTCCCCTTCTCTTTCTCTTCCCATCCCCTCTCTTTCTCTGCTATTTATTTGTACCCTGGACCCCTTAACTCCATTCATTTGAAGAAGTGAGTTGTGCCCACCAAAGCGGATGATACCATCTACATTTTTGTTAGTCTCTAAGGTGCTACAGAACCATTTGCTATTTGCTGTTTTTTATGTTCGTAGGGGTTTCCAAGACACAGTTTATCCACCTACACTCCCCTCAAGTCTTTCTGTAATCTCAGAACTTCAGAAGCTCAATGAAATTATTAATCACATGCCTCCTCATGCAAATACAACTGCTTTATAGTTTGATCAATTTAAAAATAGTAAAATGCCTTTCACTAAAGGCTGGGTCCAAAGCCCATGAATAATGAAGGAAATCTATCCACTGGCTTCAGTAGGCTTTTAGTCAGGCCATGAACCTGGACAAACATCAGAATCTGGATATATACTAAAAGATAGATACTACTTACGTGCACAGAATGGACTGGTCTTCTCGATCTGTGAATAAAGAGAAAAATCCATTGATTATACAAAGAAAAGTTGTGCACTAACAGAGCTATTTGCATTTACAAAGAATTATTTTCAACAAACATGAACACCCAGGCCTCCAAAATCTGATGATACATGGCCACTCAAAAATGTTGAAATCACATGTCAGTAAATTTGTCTTTGTATTTAACTTAGCGCCCCTAACACCAGGATTTTGTAAAAAAAGAACAAAGGTTAAATATTCAAACAGCTGTTTAAAATTTAATTGGAGATGAATTATAATGAGGAGGAGTCCAATGTGCGCAGATGACACTCTGTAAGAGAAAATTCTAGAGCTGGAAAATAAGTTTGTATTACATTTACTAAAAAAGGTCTCCTAATGAGACAAATAAGAATATGACCCAATAGATAAGTTTCTCAAAGCTAACATGATTGTAGGTCATGTAAAGAGGTTGAAGCTTCTGACAGCATAGGAACTATAAGCATTGGGAAGTACAAATAGCGTAAGTCAAGTGTTCTCTCAGGGTACATCTACAGACCAGTGTTAATTTCAAAATAATGTAGTCCGCATCTACACTACAAACAGTTATTTCAACATAATGACAAAATAATGTTGAGCTGGAGGACTTCTTACTCCAACTCTTGTAACCCTCATTTTACGAGGAGTAAGGGAAGTTGGAGGAATAGTGCTCTTTCTTGGACTTCCTGCTGTGTAGACAGTGCCAAAACCCGAAATAGTCTATTTCCACTTAAGCTATGCAATTGACATCGCTCAAGTGCATAGGTTATTCCGAGTTTAGCCCTGCTGTGTAAACATACTCTCAGTTCCACATCAGCGCTGGAGGGGACTTCTACCATGAGGGATGAGGACAGTGACAGGGACTGGGGAAACAGTAGAATGAATGGTAAAAGCTGTGGGGAAGGGCTAGGAGAATGCAAGACTAGGAACATCAAAGCAGAGGCGAGCACAGAAGAGGTTGTATGGGAAGCACAGAAGTTAATCAGGAGTGATTTAAGGATTGGAAGTATCAGCAGTGTTGTGGACCAGGGCCAGAATGAGACACTTCATTAAATTAAATTAAATTAAATTAAAGGGTAGAAGAAAAAATATCAGCTCAGTAGGACCAGAGGCAAATAGGGTGGCTGGAGAGGGCTTTTAATCCATAAGGCTATGTCTACACTATGAGATTATTTCACAATATATTATTTTGAAATAACAACTCCCAAAATAACTATTAAAAGGGCTGATAGGGCATGTCTACACTGGGGAGTTATTTTAAAATATTTCAAATATTTCAAAGTATTTCAAAATAACTATTTAAAAAAATCTTATTCCTCTTCACGAGCAGGAGTTACTATTGTAAAAAAACAAGCCCATTATTTTGAAATAACAAGCTTGGTCGTGTGGACGCTCATCTTGTTATTTCAAAATGACAAGGTGAGCGTCCACACGACCAAGCTTGTTATTTCAAAATAATGGGCTTGTTTTTTTACAATAGTAACTCCTGCTCGTGAAGAGGAATAAGATTTTTTTAAATAGTTATTTTGAAATACTTTGAAATATTTGAAATATTTTAAAATAACTCCCCAGTGTAGACATGCCCTATCAGCCCTGAAATCACCCTCTCCAGTGTTCAATTCAAAAGAAACGGTGGCTAACAGAATCCCCTGAGCAAAGCAAAAAATAAAAATGAAAAATGAAAACTCCTCCGTGGTTGTACCCAGAGAACCACCACAGTAAGTGCGCTGTAAAAACCTGACCTGCAGATTTCACAAATGCAAACAGAAGAACAACAATCCAGAAGTGATCCCAAAGAAAAGGAGACCAGCATTTCAATGGGTTAGCTGGGAAAAACTGACCTTAGTCTGAGAAGGTGGCTAAGGAGTAATAAAATATAGTAGGAAATGCTGAGGGTCCCTAGTACCCATCAGTTCAATGGAAGTTATGCAGTGTGAACCCTTTCAGGATGGTCTGATAAACTTACAGTTGGACCCTGATCTACCCTAATCAGAATACCAGTAACTCCCATTGTCTTCTGCTGAAGTTACAGGTGTACCCAGGGGAAAGAATCAGGGACCAGGGTCTGTCACTGTCATCTTTCAGTCTCCTACTCTTCTGCAACTTTGTTTGAATACTGAACAATGCACACTGGCATTTTGTTAGATTCCTAGCTACACTCATCTGTGTTCCAGGATAAACATTCTGCCAACTCGTGAATAGGCATCGTGTCATTAAAATAAATGCCCATGAAATCTATTGAACCAAATGCAATTGTTGACATGTTTCCAGTCAGGACTATTGGAACAGCTGTTCATCCTGACATTTAGAGTCAGGGGACAGGTCATCATAAATATTCTCTGTGTTGAGTTACTTTTAAAAACTGAAGGATCATGTTAAGCAAAATTCCTGTAACCATGCACTCTGTCAGATGCTATTGCTAGTCATTGGTGGCAAGAGTAATTACACTGAGGGCTCAGCCCTCCTAGTCTTCTCTGCGGTAGACCCCCCAAGGAACAAGCTGAACAAAGTTATTTGACAGATTTCACATGAGCTTATCAGCAATGTAGAAGTGTCCTCCAAGGCTGTTGATTATGAGCAGAACCATCAAATACACCTCAAATCCCAATTTGCTAAGAAGTAGGCCAAAGAAGGACAAGGGCTATTATCAAATCTCATTTGTCAGGACTTCAGCCTGTAGGGGTCAAATTTTCCCAGTGGTGCAGGTGTATTCTATTCCCCCTCCTCACTTTCCCCACCTTCCTTACAAACAGAAGGTGGGAACCTTAGGTGCTCTGAAGAGGTACAGAGAATTCTCTTTGTTACATGCCTGGTTGGTGAGTCTCACTCATATGTTCAGGATAAAACTAATTTCCAGATGTGGAGTCATGAAGGAATTTTCCTCCACAGATTGTCAGGGACCTTGGGTTTTTTGCCTTCTTCTACAGCATGGGACTTGGATCATCTTCTAGGACCAGCAAGACCTCTTTCTCCAAATCAATTCCCTGGCATTTTCAGGGGCATATGGCACTGCCGACACCTTGGTCTCTCCTGTTCTCTGCCTGTAGAACACAACAATGCTGAGCCGACAAACAGCTAATCAGCTGTTTGTCGGCTCAGCGCGTTAGTCTGGACACTCCCGCGCCAACCTGAAAGCTCTTTATTGACCTCCCCGTTATGCCTCGTAGGATGGGGTTTACTGGGGAGGTCGATAAAGGGCTTTCAGGTCGGCGCAGGAGCGTCCAGACTAGCACGGTGAGCCAACAAACAGCTGATCAGCTGTTTGTCGGCTCAGCGTGCTAGTCTGGACGCTCCCCTGTCGAAATGAAAGCCTTTTATCGACATCCCCCATATGCCTCGTAGGATGAAGTTTAAGGGGGATGTCGATAAAAGGCTTTCATTTCGACAGGGGAGCGTCCAGACTAGCACGCTGAGCCGACAAACAGCTGATCAGCTGATTATTTAAATCGCGGCTTCATTTCCCTTTGCCAAATAAACAAATCTACATGGCTCCGTCGACGGAGCCATGTAGTTTAGACGTACCCTTGGGGACTGAAGTGCTGTAGTTTAACTAAAGTCACTGGGCTCAGTATATTGGTAACAAGATGAAATTTAATGGCCTGTGATATATAAGAGGTTAGACACTAGGGCTATGTCTAGACTGCAGGCTTCTTTCGAAAGAGGCTCTTTTGAAAGCATCTTTCGAAAGAGCCTCTTTCAAAAGATCGCGTCTAGACTGCAGGCGGATCTTTCGAAAGAGAAATCCGCTTTTTCGAAAGAGAGCACCCAGCGAGTCTGGATGCTCTCTTTCGAAGACGGCCTCTTTACATTGAAGAACACCTTCTTTCGAAAGAGGAACTTTCAAAAGAAGGCGTTCTTCCTCGTGAAACGAGGTTTACCGCCATCGAAAGAAAAGCCGCGTTCTTTCGAAATAATTTCGAAAGAACGCGGCTTGAGTCTGGACGCAGGGGAAGTTTTTTCAGGAAAAGGCTACTTTTCCCGAAAAAAACCCTGAGTCTGGACACGGCCTGAGTGATCTAATGGTTCCTTCTGACCTTCAGCTCAATGACTCATGTTGTAGCAGGTCCTAAGAATCTCTCTTTTATAATGTATACAGTACTATTCCTATTTCCCACAACGTTTCTGTATAGAGTTTTACATGTCCTTGGTTTAGCACCACCTTAGTCTCCTATAAGCCATGGACATTTCTTTATAACTTAGGGCATGTCTAAACTACATCCCTCTTTTGAAAGAGGGATGTAAATTAGGCAGATTGAAAGTGCAAATGAAGCGGGGATTTAAATATCCCAGACTTCATTTGCATAATCTCATCATATTGTTCTTCTGAAAAAATGAGGAGTACAGGATAACCTCAAAAAATGAGTACAGGATCTTTCAAAAAAGGGTTGTTGTTTTTTTGAAAGAACTGTGTCTAGACAGAAGTTTCACTTTCAAAATAACCTTTTTCAAAAGAATGCTGTGACAAGATTATGTAAGTGAAGCACGGGATATTTAAATCCATGCTTCATTTGCACTTTCGATCTGCCTAATTTACATCCCTTTTTCGAAAGAGGGATGTAGTTTAGACATAGCCCTAGAGCCAAATCCTAAACCAGGTCTACACTATCGGAGAAAGACCTAAGATACACAACTCCAGCTACGAGAATAGCATAGCTGGAGTTGACGTAATTTAGGCTGAATTTCTGCAGCAGTCTTATTGTAGGAAGTTGATGGGAAAAACTCTCCTGTTGACTTCTCTTACCGTGGAGTATCAGGGTTGACAGAGGTGCCATTAGCAGTCGATTTAGTGAGTCCTTACTAGACTTGCTAAATCCAACCTCAGGAGATCGCTCTCCAGAGTGTCAGTCTCAGGGTAAGTGAAGACAAGCCCTTTGTCTTTCCCCAGTTTAATTTGGTCCTTATTTAGGCAAAAAATCACAAAAAGCCAATGGGAGTTTTGCCTAAGTAAAGCCTTCAGTATCTGCCCAGAGAATTTACAGAGAAAAGATAT